GCCGTACCTAACCATTCATTTCCAGCTTTCCCCCCTAACATTTCCAGCTTTTCTTCATCTTTGCAGCCACACTTCCACATGGATTCCCTCTTTTCCTAGCTGTTTTTCCATCATTATTTCATCCACATGCACTCTCCATCATAACAGCCACATTCACTCTTAAACAATCATCCACATATTCTCCCATTCCCCCTATAAAAACCCATGCATTCATACACAAAAACACACCTCAAACCAACACAAAAACACATCCATTCATCCATTGCCGTGCACTTCCTTCCATTTTCCAGCATCCCCCTTCCATTTCCACCACTCCCCAACCCTCCAAAACACTATCCAACCATTCCTCCATACAAACACCAACCCAAAACCTATCAATAGATCTTGTGCGACAACAAAGAGGAGGAGAAAAGTGCCTAAACGTTCATACAATTCAAGTTTGAGTTGTTGGAATGTTTAGGTGTTTCTTTTCCTCGATTTCAATGGTTAAATTTACTTATCTTTGTTTTGTACGTATGAGGAACTAAACCCCCCATGGCTAAGGGTGTATTCGAAACCATGATTATATATGTGAAATAAGTTGATTACTTCCAGTTATCGTTGCATAAGTCGTGAATACAATTTGCTTAACCGTTTGATTTAGAACTTATTCTTGTATGTTGATTGAGAGTGCACGCTTAATTTGCATGCTTGAATTTGGTGCTAGGATATAAGTTTGTTTCACCTAATCGTTATGAATTTATATTCACAAGTAGTGAAGGTCGCTAGTCACGATCATGTTAAGTAGATTCCTGGCAAGAGTATCATGCTTTTCATAGTTACAAATGTCTTGTCGATGCTTATGATTTCCAAAGAACGTAATGATTCTAACTTGTATCTTTATCATGCTGTTCATATAGAGAACTTGTTAGGAATAATTTGTTTGCGATGCATATTCATCCAATTCAATGATTCTAGGGAAATCTGAAGGTTAATTTAAGCGGACCTAATTAACTTGGAGTGTCGAGGTTCATAACTTATTGAAGTGATAATTGGAAAGTGATTGACGTTGCATATATAACATGTGTGGAGAAGTATCCCTTGGCTATCCCATCATCCATTAGTTTTTCTTATTTTCGTCCAAAATCTGTTTTAAAGTTTTAAGTCACTTGTTTTCTTTTAAATTCGTCCAAAATCAAAACCCCCCTTCTTATTTGTTCCAAATCTGTCCAAAAGAGTCCTTTTGAATCTTTAGAGTCAAAACCAAGTGTATTTTCGTCCAAATTAAGTCCTAGAGTCTAAATTGAGTTTTTGGTTGTTTTGAGTCTTTAAAGTTTGTTTTGAGTCATATAAGTTAGTAAGAGTCTTGTGAGTCTATTTAAAGTGTTTTAAAACATATTTTTACGTTTTTGAGTCAAATCCAAGTGATTAACAATCCCTCCTAATCCCCGGTCCAGAACGATCCCTACTTACATACTTACTACAATTGTCAAAAATAGGGTTTAATTTGAGTGCGTATTACTCTCGCATCAAGTGGTTGAAGCTTTTCTCCTTTGGACACATAGTTTGTGTGGTTGAAGCTTTTTCCCTTAAGCACATAGCTTCAGTGGTTGAAGCTTTTATTTTTTGTGGACACTTAGGTTGAAAGGTAGAAGTTTTTTCAAGCTTCAACCACTCCATATATTGATTTCGCGCACAGTTTTGATCAAGAGTGTGCGAAGCAATTTTTTGTTGGATCATTCTCATGTTGTTGATGAGTTAGAGAATCGGCAGAATATGATTTTTTTCTTTTTCTTGGACACTAGTGTGCATTTCCCACCGAAGTTTCCATTTACCATTGTTGGCAAGTAAAGTTAAGATATAATACTTGCATGTTGTCATGGTGGCTATATAGCTTATTGAAGTTCGCGACTTCGAAGTTCTTGTAAATGTTGGAGTAGAAAATGCCTGAGGTTTTTAGAAAGCCTATAAATGAGTTTCCTTCAAACCATATCCAAGGCAACCCAACTAATTTAATGAAGCTACAATGTTTGACCTTCTTGTACAGTTGAAGGAGATGTTAATAATGCTTCATACTACATGGTGCAAATTAAGAGACCGAAGAGTTGAAGCCTATATGTTGCTTGAAGCCTTCTGGAAGCTATACAAATTGATTGACCTCCTAAATGTGTTATTCCCCCTACACAGTGCCTTTATATATAATAATAAGGTTGGAAAGAAATCATTCTCCTCCAAGGAATACAAGTCCTAATAGGGAAGAATAACTAGAATAAAATATAATCTAAGATTTACACAATCACACATAAATAAGAAGTTTATAACACTCCACCTCGAGTGTGTAAATACTCAAGTAGATTCGGCATCATGTGTTGTTGAGGAAGTCGACTCGTCGTCACTGATTCTGGGAACACGGTAGTCTTAATAAGGTAGGAACTTGCATAAGGAAATAAGTCTCACAAAAAAGCCTAAGGCTACGGTAAAAATCCGAGTAAGGACAAAATAGTTAAAGAAAAATTTGGGAGCAATGCAAAGTCAAATGAAATGTCTACAGGACGTCATCAAGGATATAACCAACCCAAGATGAGAGCCTCGTCAAGACCTCGTTAGGTAGCAAAACCCGAGTGGTAAAAATGCTTCTAATCGTAGGGAAAAATAGTACATTAAGATCAAGCAAGTATACTTCAAGATACTCACCTGAGTTTGACATAATTCCAAAGGGAACTAACAATGTTACAACTCAGAAAGTTTACGCATACCAATCCTTGAACAAGCTTCTGAAATGTCGCCTTCGGTAGTGATTTGGTGAAGAGGTCAGCCAGGTGGTCTTGTGAATGAATTTGCGTGACTTCAATCTTCTGATGCTCTTGTTGTTGATGTGAGAAGAAAGACTTCGATGCAATGTGTTTGGTGTTGTCTCCATTGATGTAACCCTTCTTGAGCATTCGATGCATGCTGCGTTGTGTTCATAGATCATCGTCGGGAAGTCAACGACGGGGAAATGATCGCAGGAGCTTCAAATATCACCCACAACCACTACCATCCAGAAATATTCTTGAGTTGTAAAATGCATGCTGCGTTGTCTTCATAGATCGCGTACGGTGAGAATTTCAGCATTGTTGGATGAAGTGACAACTAAGGTCTGTTTAGTTGACCTCTAAGAGATTACACTGGCTCTAATGGTAAAGACATAACAATTCCAATCGAAGTTTCATCTCTAAATAGATATCCACCATGGCTGATCAGACTTCGTCTGCAATTGAACGGATTGTGCAACCTAATATCCCAAATTTATGCTTTTGGCAAAGACCCATGAATTTGAAATTGCTTTGTGTAGGTGATTCACCATATTTCTGTCCAATTTAACTTCACTAAGGTCTCTCTTATTCTGGTTTCGTATGGAGGCTAACCCTGAAAAATGGGAGAGGAAATATGCAGCTTTCTTTTGTTTTTTTCTTTTCCTTGTCGGTTCAGTATTGCATAGACATGACGTGCTGAAGGCTTCTCCAATTCCAACAAGTGACATGCACTGCACATAAATAAAAAAAAAAAATGAATGTAGGCCACAAGTATATTATACAGCCAAATAGGTAGACACTTAAATCATAACAGACCATTAGGTTTATTTAAAAATAAGGAATTATAACATCATATTTTCCTCCACCTCATTAATATAACTATAAAAGCACAACACTATGTAATTCCTTTCCTCTAAGTCCAAAATATCACAAGAAAATGTAGCTTTTGCGAGATAATAAATAGTAAAATATGCGTTCATCATTATGCTATTTCTTAATGCTTCCATCCCTCCTTGGTCGTGATTTCGATCATCCTCTTCATCATCATCAATATCGCTCTCTTCACTATAGTCTTCGGGGTCATCAAAATGCCTATCACGTTCAGAATGCCTCCTTTTGTAGTTATGAAGAGCCATTGTAGCAATGACAATATTCACTTGCGTATTGAACAGACAATCAAGCATATCCCTCAAAATTGCCCCCCTTTTTTTCATACTCTAAACGTACGCTCAATTATGCTTCTAAGAGAAAAATGTCTATAGTTGAATACCTCTTTATGCCCCGTTGGTTGGCCACTCCTATAAAAATATGAGAGATGATGTCTTTTACCTTTATGCCCCATGGGGTGGTATTAAATTCCGAATCCATAGGTTTGATAATATCTATTGCCATCTAACATACAATATCCAACATAACACCAAAATATCTAAGAAGAGTGTTGAAATTGCTCTTAGCTATTCTTTTTTTTTTTTTTTTTCTTCTATACTATGTCCTAACATATGCAAGAACATTCCTAATATCACTTTCTCCCTGAACCTTTCAAACTATAGTTAGCTTGCAATACTTTCATTAACCAAATGTTACCTGTTTGAAAAAATTCATACATGGAGTTTTATGCACATATTTTAGATAATATGCTTCAATAGCTCGAGTACAAGCGCATGCTAATATGTCAAACTCTTCCTCATCATTATCTAGAATGTCCATATTCAAGCGCACCTGCAAGTTAACAAATAATCCTTAACAAAATTCAAGCACCTTGCCAATTAACAGTTGTACCAATATTGAAAACAAAGTATCTAAAAATTAACTCATAATTCAAAATAACATTCAAGGAAGGTGTCAAACAAATTCTAAGACATAATCCCAAAATCAAGAAAGGTAATCTATAAATTAGAGCTAAGGATGCTTTAAGGAATAATATCTTATATTATAAAAAAAATACAAATATGCTATATTATGTTATGCTTAAAAAAAAAAAAACGAATGACTTAAAAAAAAAAAAATACAAACAGATGACATGTTTCACGATATATATAGTAGTGGGGGATTATGGGACAAAAAATAAATCCATTTGGCATGGAGCTAGAGCCTTGTTTCGAGATGTTTTTGTTGGTATTGATCCAGATTTAGATGCTCAACTGGAATTTGGAGCATTCCAAAAACTTGGAGATCCAACTACAAGAAGACAAGTAGTCTGATACAATACGTGTTGTTACTTGTTACTTTTCATTTTTATTTTCTTTTTGTGATTTTTAGATGGGGTACCAGATAAATCTTGATTTGAATCACTGCCTTTTCTTTGACTCTTGTTCTTTATTTATCCGGGAGACGATCCCAAATAAACAGGTATGGAAGCTATAATTGTAAACCACGATCGAATCTATGGAAGCATTGGTTTATACATTCCTTTTAGTCTCAACTCTAGGAATAATTTTTTTCGCTATCTTTTTTCGAGACCCGCCTAAAGTTCCAACTAAAAAGGTGAAATGATTTGTCATTATCTCAATTGAAGTACGGATCCTCCCAATATTGGGAGGATCCGTACTTCAACTAGTCCCCGTGTTCCTCGAATGGATCTCTTAGTTGTTGAGAGGGTTGCCCAAAAGAAGTATATAAGGTGTACAAGTTTTTGGTTGATAAGGGGATCAAATGGTATAATTCTTTTGTTGGTAGATTGGAGGATTACGCACATGAATATTGCTTCCCTATTGGCTGGTTTTGCATTAATTGCTACTTCTTTAATCTTACTGATTAGTGTAGACGTTGCATTTGCTTATCCTGAGGGTTGGTCGGGTAACAAAAATGTTCTATTTTCCGGCACATCATTATGGTTTGGATTAGTCTTTCTGGTGGGTATCCTTAATTCTCTCATATCCTGAACCTATTCATTCTATATCCAAAATGAAATGACCCCCCTCCCAATTCCTTCAGGTTGTGAGACACTAAAATTCAATATAAGTCCCAAAAATTCAAATAAAGAAAAAAAAATTAGAAAAATTAGAGAGGGGTCAAACTTGTGTTTTTGAATTGTAAAAATATATATAAATGAAAAATGTCAAATCAAAATAAATAGATGTAAACTAATAAAAACCAGTCTCTTGAAACAACTAATCAATTTCTTGTACTACCAAGAAGAAGCCACCCCAATGGTATCCTTTCACAATCTTTAGGAGCGAAATAGCCAATTTGAGAACTTAGCTATCTTGATGCCATCTTAATTAGCGTCGAAATACAAATTCACAAAACCACTGGGTTTACGGATTCAATATTAAAACTCTAACAAGAAGAAAAAGATCAAGATTAATTAATTCTTCATCCTTATCGATTATGTACTTACGTAAAGAATTCTGGTCATAAATTTCTACTTTTTTGTTGGGTGAAATAATTTTCGAGTGTTTGAATAAGTCTCTATAGCTAATCGCCCATATTGCCCATCAACAGTTGGACATGCATAATATAAACATGCAGATAAATGACTCTTTGTTTCCGAATCCAGAAAACATTTTCTTTCGTTGGAAAACCCAAGAGTATTCAAGGATTGATCATTTCAAATTAAGATGAGATCGGTCGAACTGTTGTGTACTTTATCTTACTTTTCAACTCAAGGAATAATTTTTTTTTGTAGTATAAGTTATTAATTTCTTAATCTTAATATGAATATCATATATACAAAAAACTATTCAAATTGAAGACTGTTTAGTCATCCAAATGTATCAATAAAATGAATAGTTGGTTATAAATCTTTTATTCAAATAATTCTTTTTGTTTAGATGATGTTCAAATAAAAATTGGGAAACTAAACGATCACAATATAAAATTTGTAGAATATGTGCATTCCTCATAGGTGGAACGCAAGGATTATCCATTCTTTTACGTACGTAGACAACTATTGGGTACATGAAACATGCTTTCTTTTAAATTACAGATCATGACTTGGACTTTAAACTAGGACTTTCAAAGCCAATTTTGTTTACAAATTTTAACCCTTTACCATTCTCATTCTTGTACCAGCAAGAAGAATGTGTAACTACTATACTTTGAAGGGTGTCCCAACCTTCGAAAAAACCACCCCAACGGAATCCTTTCACAATCTTTAGGAATAGCCAACTTGAGAACCTAGCTATTTCCATGCCTTCTTAATTAGAGTGGAAAGACAACTTCAAAAAACCACTGGGTTTACCAATTCAATACTAAAACTCTAACAAGAAGAAAAAGATCAAGATTAAATTCTTCATCTTTATCGCTTACTACTTACGTAAAGAATAGTGGTCATAAATTTCTATTTTTTTGTTGGCTCAAGTAATTTTCTACTGTTTGAACAAGTCTCTATTGGTAATCTTCCATATTCAACTTCAAAAGTTATGCCTTCAACATTGGGACATACATCATATAAACATGCAGATAAATGGCTCTTTGTTTCCTAATGCAATTAACATTTTCTTTTGCCGGAAAACTCAAGGGTAACTCAAGGATTGATCATTTTAAATTAAAATGAGATTGATCGTACAGTTGTCTACATTATCTTACTTTTCAACTCAAGGAATAATTTGTTTTTATAAATAATGTATTTTCATATATATATATATATATATACTATAAGTTATTGATTTTTTAAACTTAATTTGAATATCATATATGCAAAAAACTGTTCAAATTGAAGACTGTGTAGTTATGCAAATATGTCAATAAAATGAATAGTTCATTATAAATCTTTTACTTAGTATCAACACTATTGATTGGGTTCATATATTCAAATGACTAAACGATTTCAAATTCAAATAATTATTTTTGTTTAGATGATCTTCAAATAAAGATTAAGGAACTGAAGGATCACAATATAAAATTTGAAGAGTATGTGCATTCATCATAGGTGGAACGCAAGGATTATCCATTCTTTTACGTACGTACGCAACTTTTGGGTACATGAAACGTGCTTTCTTTTAAACTACAGACCATGACCTGGTCTTTGAACTAGGGCTTTCAAAGTCAATTTTGTTTACAATTTTTAACAGTTGTACCAATATTGAAAACAAAGTATCTAAAAATTAACTCATAATTCAAAATAACATTCAAGAAAGGTGACAAACCAATTCTAAGACGTAATCCTAAAATCTGACTAAGAGTGTACAAATCCAGAATGTTTTGTAAAACTACAACTCCTTCATTGGTTGATGAACTCATAATTCAGCCTAGTAAGTTGCACACTAGGATCTTTAATGATAGAGAACATCTCTCTCTTCTCTTGATTAAAAAACAAACGAGCTGCAAACAACCACAACGGGCTAGTACGCTCACAACCAGGTAACAGTTCAACAACCTGCACAACTTCAGGAATACTAGTGCCTATCATCAATTGCCTCATAGTGCTCTTACCCTCTACTGCACCAATAAGGCGGTCAATTTGACCATACAATTTTGCAGCACCGCCAACCTTTTTCCCTTTCCTGTCAAACTTATTTGTTCTCAATTCACCTTGGTCAGCTCTTTTTTTTTTCCTTTCTTAGCACATTTTCTCATAGATTGGGTGGTGCACTCTCCTCATCATCTGATCCAATAGATTCATTTTGTATATTAACATTTCCTATTAATTCCTCCCTACTATTTGGTAGTAGTGCACCAAATGAAGGTGCCCAAGCATTTGCACCAGTAGCAACGCTATTTGAGAGCATCCTATCCAACTTTTCCTCAAACTCAGGAGTGATGCCTTTCTGCAATCTTCCATATTCAGGATTTATCTACAAATGAAAAAGAATGTTGTTATTATGTAGTTTATGATTACTATAACTAGAATAACATCATAACTGATACAAAGTGCACATACCTGAATCTTATTATTCCACCATTCATCAGAGGCATCCACTATTCCCTTGCTTGGATTCCACTCTAGGCCAGTTTCTTTCCCAATTAGTTTTTTGCACAACTACCAATCCTTTTTTAGTCTATCTCACTTATTTTTCAATTGTGCTTTACTATAAGAATTTCCTGTTTCTTTCCTAAAGTTTTCTATCAAATTTGCCGATCTTTCTTTGTTAAAGTGAGGGCCAAGACGACGTCCGGCCTCAACATCCTTGATGCATAACTCACTGAATACGGATATATTATGATCATTGCATGTACCATGTGGAGCTCTTGCTGAAGTTCCCACGTTTTTTGCCATCCTTATATATATAATATTAAAGGAAAACTAATGAAAAGGGCTTGAAAACTTTGAATTTTAATGATAGAGCAAAACAAGACACAAAGTTCAATGGAGACCACAACAACATCAGAAGCTCTATGATGTATATAGCTCTGGGATGGAGACCACAACAAGTCACACAATAAAGCAAAAAAAACCACAACATCATCAAGACTTACATACCATAATTGTAATTATGAGCCAGAGATAAGGCTCTGAGATGTTCATTGCCTGCTCAAAATCATATGCTTACTATGATTCTGTAATCTTCTATTTCATGCGACTCATACTATTTTTTTATCTTTTGGTCCAAATAAAAAAACTACTTTTGAAAAGCTCATTATCCACATGCCGGTGTAAATTTATGTTGCAGACAAGTTTTGGCTGATACCACATGAAAGAGAGTATCCATGTCTATGTAAATTTAATTTAACAGCAATCAAATCTTCCAGTATCATCCAAAAACTAATCACCGAACTAAATTACAACTAATCAACTAATTATACGGGAAAAAACGATTCTAACCAAATTAACCAAATAAATTAATCCACCTCAAGTCCCAAAAATTAATTAAAAATAGAATTTAACCAAATTAATCAGCAAATTTAATCATTTTGGAACAAAAATCAGTTGCAGAAAAATGAAGAAAATGACTTATAGTTGAATCAGTTCAATATTTCAATATTCCAACAATAAATTGTCAAAATAAGCAAATTAGAAATTGAAACGAAAGAAAACTCACCTGTTGTTGGTGAAGAGTGCTTGAACTAGAGGAAATGAAGAGGATAGATGGGTCTGTGCTCGAACCAGATGAGAGGGAGAGGAGAGAGCGCGAGAGAAATAGGGAAACCTGGAAATTGAACGAAGCATAGGAGAAAAGGATAGTATTGTCAGCGCAAATGTTTCATTAATTGCCAATTTTTACGCGCTTCTATGAAAAAAAGTGCTCTTTTAGAGTCCAACCTGCTTTTGCTTTCTTTTGTTTTTGATCCACAATTGAAGGAAAAAATAAAATAAAAAACTCTTTTTTCTAACCAAACACAATTTATGGTTCCAACTTTTTTTTAAAAAAAAATTAAGCAATCCCAAGCCAGCCTTTTGTTTAGAGGAGGAAAATAAACATATAAATTTAGAATTTTGGCATGGAAAAAAAAAACTTACAATTTGGGACCTCCAGTTCCTAAATTTAGTTTCATGTAAATATGTGTTATTTTCATATTTCTATAAATAAAAGTTTAAAAATAACAAATTCTGTATTCAATTCTATTGTTCTTTTAGGTTAATCAACCAAGCAAATTCACAAATTCTAGAAAATAAAATTCTGTCATTTCAATTTCCATCATTTTAAAATTCTTTAGTAATATAAATTATTTTCATCCAAACAGATTGTTAGGTTTTATTCTTATGCTATGTGTGTACGTCATTTTGTGGTATAACATAAAGAAGATGAATTAATAATCAATAAGAGTATTGTCTCCATTTTTCTAATAATATATGAAGACAACTACAAGTTATTTTAACTTAAGATAGTACAATTCAAAAAGAAAATGGTGCAACCTCCACTTCAAATTTCTAGAGTGCACAAAATTTGCCACAAAAACAAAACAAAAAAATCCTTCCAATTTTTTCCTCGTGTTGCACAACGCCAAAATATCATGTGCATTCTCCGCACCTCCAATTTTCCATTTGCAAAAAATCTACAAAAAGAAAGTCTTGCTCAATTTTAATATTGTTTGCCTCATTTGTCTTCTGAAAAGACATTAAAATTTGTTATTGATTCCTGCAAACAGAAAGTTAAGCGGGTAAATATATAATATACTTAGCATTTATGACATCAAGTACACATCTATATTTGTTTTTATGTATTTGTAGTTGTCATATATGACATGTCATCTCGTCCAAACTTTTTTCCTTTATTATCAAACTTATTTCTTCTCAATTCGCCCTAGTTAGCTACTCTCTTTTTTCCCTTCTTACCATCTTTTCTTATGTATTGAATAGTCTCATTCTCCTCCTCATCATTTGGTCCAACAGTTTTAGATTGTAAACAAACATCTTCTGTGGATTCCTCCATAATATCTGGTGGTAGTACACTAGATAAAGGTAAGATCCACTTGTCACATAACTATTGTATTGAAAGATATATCTTTCGATGAAGTGGAAGAAATAGATAAAAGGAAATCTATAAATTAGAGCTGAGGATGCTTAAAGGAAGAATAACTTATATTATACATGTTTCACGATATATATAGTAGTGGGGGATTATGGGACAAAAAATAAATCCATTTGGCATGGAGCTAGAACCTTGTTTCGAGATATTTTTGCGAGTATTGATCCAGATTTAGATGCTCAACTGGAATTTGGAGCATTCCAAAAACTTGGAGATCCAATTACAAGAAGACAAGTAGTCTGATACAATATGCGTTGTTACTTGTTACTTTTCATTTTTATTTTCTTTTAGTGATTTTTAGATGGGGTACCAAATAAATCTTGATTTGAATCACTGCCTTTACTTTGACTCTTGTTCTTTATTTATCCGGGAGACGATCCCAAATAAACAGGTATGGAACCTATAATTGTAAACCACGATCGAATCTATGGAAGCATTGGTTTATACATTCCTTTTAGTCTCAACTCTAGGAATAATATTTTTTGCTATCTTTTTTTGAGAACTGCCTAATGTTCCAACTAAAAAGGTGAAATGATTTGTTATCATCTCAATTGAAGTACGAATCCTCCCAATAGTGGGAGGATCCATACTTCAACTAGTCCCTTTGTTCCTCGAATGGATCTCTTAGTTGTTGAGAGGGTTGCCCAAAAGCAGTATATAAGGTGTACAATTTTTTGGTTGATAAAGGGATCAAATGGTATAATTCTTTTGTTGGTAGATTGGAGGATTAGGAACATGAATATTGCTTTCCTATTGGCTGTTTTTGCATTAATTGCTACTTCTTTAATCTTATTGATTAGTGTAGATGTTGCCTTTGCTTCTCCTAAGGGTTGGTCGGGTAACAAAAATGTTCTATTTTCTGGCACATCATTATGGTTTGGATTAGTCTTTCTAGTGGGTATACTTAATTCTCTCATATCCTGAACCTATTCGTTCTATATCCAAAAATGAAATGACCCCCCCTCCCAATTCCTTCAGGTTCCGAGACACACTAAAATTCAATATAAGTCCCAAAAATTCAAATGAAGAAAAAAATTAGAAAAATTAGAGAGGGGTCAAACTTTTGTGTTTTTGAATTGTAAAAATATATATAAATGAAAAATATTAAATCAAAATAAATAGATGTAAGCTAATAAAAACCAGTCTCTTGAAACAACTAATCAATTTCTTGTACTACGAAGAAGAAGCCACCCCAATGGTATCCTTTCACAATCTTTAGGAGCGACATAGCCAATTTGAGAACCTAGCTATTTCGATGCCTTCTTAATTAGCGTGGAAATACAATTTCACAAAACCACTGGGTTTACGGATTCAATATTAAAACTCTAACAAGAAGAAAAAGATCAAGATTAATTAATTCTTCATACTTATCTATTATATACTTATGTAAAGAATTCTGGTCATAAATTTCTACTTTTTTGTTGAGTCAAATAATTTTCTACTGTTTGAATAAGTCTTTGTAGCTAATCGCCCATATTCAACTTCAAAAGTTTTGCCCATCAACAGTTGGACATGCATAATATAAACATGCAGATAAATGACTCTTTGTTTCCGAATCCAAAAAATATTTTCTTTCGCTAGAAAACTCAAGAGTAATTCAAGGATTGATCATTTCAAATTAAGATGAGATTGATCGACCTGTTGTGTACATTATCTTACTTTTCAACTCAAGGAATAATTTTTTTGTAAATAATGTATTTTTGTAGTATAAGTTATTAATTTCTTAATCTTAATTTGAATATCATATATACAAAAAGCTATTCAAATTGAAGACTGTTTAGTCATCCAAATGTATCAATAAAATGAATAGTTCATTATAAATCTTTTATTCAAATAATTCTTTTTGTTTAGATGATGTTCAAATAAAAATTAAGAAACTAAACGATCACAATATAAAATTTGTAGAATATGTGCATTCCTCATAGGTGGAACACAAGGATTATTCATTCTTTTACATACGTAGACAACTAATGGGTACATGAAACGTGCTTTCTTTTAAATTACAGACCATGACTTGGACTTTAAACTAGGAATTTCAAAGCCAATTTTGTTTACAAATTTTAAACCTTCACAATTCTCATTCTTGTACTAGCAAGAAGAATGTGTAACTACTATACTTTGAAGGGTGTCCAAACCTTCGAAAAAACCACCCAATGGAATCCTTTGACAATCTTTAGGAGCAAAATAGCCAACTTGAGAACCTAGCTATTTCGATGCCTTCTTAATTAGAGTGGAAAGCCAATTTCAAAAAACCACTGGGTTTACCAATTCAATACTAAAACTCTAACAAGAAGAAAAAGATCAAGATTAAAGTCTTCATCTTTATCGCTTACGTACTTACGTAAAGAATTCTCGTCAGAAATTTCTATTTTTTTGTTGGGTCAAGTAATTTTCCACTGTTTGAACAAGTCCCTATAGCTAATCTTCCATATTCAACTTCAAAAGTTATGCCTTAAACATTTGGACATACATCATATAAACATGCAGATAAATGACTCTTTGTTTCCTAATGCAGTTAACATTTTCTTTTGCGGGAAAACTCAAGGGTAACTCAAGGATTGATCATTGCAAATTAAAATGAGATTGATCGTACAGTTATCTACATTATCTTACTTTTCAACTCAAGGAATAATTTGTTTTTATAAATAATGTATTTTCATATATATAGTATAAGTTATTGATTTTTTAATTTTAATTTGAATATCATATATACAAAAAACTGTTCAAATTGAAGACTGTGTAGTTATCCAAATATGTCAACAAAATGAATAGTTCATTATAAGTCCCAAAAATTCAAATAAAGAAAAAAATTAGAAAAATTAGAGAGGGGTCAAACTTTTGTGTTTTTGAATTGTAAAAATATATATAAATGAAAAATATTAAATCAAAGTCAAACCATGACTTGGTCTTTAAACTAGGGCTTTCAAAGTCAATTTTGTTTACAATTTTTAACCCTTTACAATTCTCATGAGCTAGTACGTAGACACCATATCCCTTCCTCCCTTTCTCTATATAAACCCCATGCAATATTCCAGGAGGAGATAACTTAATTATCTCGATCGATATCAAAACTCCCAAGTTATGGCAATGAAATATTCACGATCTTTGCTCTTTGGTGTGCTGCTACTCATTGGCTTTGCATTGACAAATAGCAAAGCAACTAATACAGATCCACCTGTTCATTGCGAATTTCTCAATCGCAGCAGTTTTGAACCAGGGTTTATATTTGGCACAGGTTCCGCAGCTTACCAGGTCTGTATATATATGTATTTTACACACACACTCACATTTATATATTTCTTTTGGGATTATTTACCATATTTTTGGTGTATTTTATGCATGCAGTTAGCATCCATGCATGAATTATAATGTTGACATCTTCCTTGCGTGTGTAGTAGTACTCTTACGTATATGCATGTGTGTATATTTCAGTATGAAGGTGCAGTAAAAGAAGATGGAAGAGGCCCAAGCATATGGGATACCTTCACCCACAAACATCCAGGTCTGTGATTTAATCAATTGGTAATATGAAAACTTTAGCTACTTCATTTCAAAAGGAGTATAAATAGCACCTCATTCTTTTCTTCGTGAGGACAAGTAAACTCCAACCTCTCTAATAACCATGCACTTTGTTGGGAGACAAATAGTACGTGGTCATGTGATCTGTACAATATATGTATATACTTCATCAGTGCGCACGCATATAAAGTACCTTGCACATGATATGGATTTCACCATTATGTTTTTGAATAACTACAGAAAAAATCGCTGATGGCAG